ATGATTTCAAGATTCAGTACATACCAAGTTTAGAAAATAAAGCCGCATATGCCCTATCGAGAAAAGTGGAGGAGCCCCAGCTGACAACCTTATCGATACCCCTGGTCCTCGATTGGGAAGTACTAAGGCGGGAGAGCGAGCAAGATGAAGGATTGGGGAAGGTAAGGGCATATTTGCTACAGGATCTGAACAGTCGTCCGAGATATGCCTTGAGGGTGCAGCAACAACTCAACCAGAGGTGGTTCGTGTTACCAAGGGAATCAGAGCACATCCCCAGACTCCTGCAGGTGTTTCACGACAGTGCAATCAAGGGGCATTCTGAGGTGCAAAAGACATAAAGTTGTTTGTCGATGAAGCTTTATTCGGTGGGGATGTGCAGAGATGTAGAAGATATGGTGGCGCAGTGTAATATGTGACAGTGATACAGATACTGGATAATGGTGCCATGCAGGTTGTTACAGCCCTTAACATTGCTGGAAAAAATTTGGGAAGAAGTGTAATGAATTTCCTATAAAGGTTTCCGCGATCAAAAGGATTACCAGTGATCCTAGTGGCAGTGAATTGTCTAAGCAAGTATGCAAATTTCATTATATTACGACATCCCTACATTGTGTTCTCAGTCGCTACGGTGTTCATACAAGATGTGATTCGTTTGCATGGAGTGCCAGAATCGATTGTATCCGATAGAGACAAGGTGTTCCTCAAAAGTTCTGGAAGCAATTGTTCAAGTTACAAGAAAGAGTCCTCAAGAGAAGCACAACATATCATCCTCAACCCGATAGTCAGACGGAGCTGGTCAATAGAAGAGTGAAGACATACTAGCATTGCTTCGTATCGAATAGGTCGAAGCTATGGGGACAAGTGGATTGTGTGGGCCGAATACTAGTGTAATACTTCATACCATACTGCAGCACAAACCACTCGTTACATTATTTTGTATGGGTGGGATCCAGTCCACCTGGAGATGGACATAGGAGAGAGGAGAGGGACAAAATATTGGCAGGCTCAAGGGACATCAACTGAGAGCTCAACAAATCATGAAAAGGAACAGAGATGGAGATAGGAGAGAGGTACAATTATTATTGATGAAGAACCAATCAACACAAATGAACAATATACATTATTGGTGAAATAGAAAAACCAACCATCTTCAGAGGAAACTTGGCTCATTAAGTTAAAAAAATACCGCCTAACATCGCCAATGACTATATTGACTTTAACTCTCAGGAGAAGAGTTATATTGAACGCAAAGAAAATAATGGGGGACAAGCAAAAAGTCGTCACCAGATTCAAGTCAAAAAATCATAACAATTAGCATTGTATTTTATTCTTTTATTTTATTTAATTTTTTAAAAATATTGAAAGAGCATTATAATATTGACTATAACATTTTAAATATTAAAAAAATTTAGCTGTGTGTTCTTCGTTGATTTGGATGGTTCAATTTGCGAATCAGCTAAATCAATTCGTTTTTCTTGTAAAATTCCAAAAACTGAACCGATAACACTATTTTCAAAGCAGATTAAACCAAATTGAACTATAATTTGATTAGTTTGGTTCGCTTTGGATGAACAAAAATAAAAATAAATTTAATAATAAATCTAGTTATCGTTAGCCTAAATAACATGTAATAAGAAGAATACCAAGTACATATTATAAATGTTAATCTTTTATCACTCATTTATTATTCATTTGATATTTGAAGACATTAGTACGATTCAATTTTTGGTTTGATTAATTTTATAAAAGGAAAAACCAAACCAATCATAAGAAAATTAAAGAAAGTCAAAGTTATAATGAACATCGAACTGATGCTTTAACAACCAAACCAAAATAACCAAATAAGAAAAATTTGATTTAACTGATTTAATTTTTTATTTTATCCAAACAAAGCACACCCTACATATTTTGGAACCATATAAATCAACCCAAATTATGAATTCAAGAGAAATAATCAAATATTTAATAGAACAATATGAATCGGAGTAATATTATTCAATAAAATATGAAGAGAAGTTGAGAGAGCACAGTCATTATAGCCTATGAATAAATTTTAAAGGATGGACTTCGGAGTATTTCTTTAAAAATTTCTCTCCTTTCTCTTAAACAGTATACAAAAAATTTATACCCCAAGTACTCTAATGGAAATAAAAATGATTGGATGCAAAAACTTATGTCTCCAAAGAGTAGGTGATACCAGCTTTAAGATTGATTTGTGAATCAACTATAGTTATTAAAGTTTACAAACTCTAACATATCATTTTCTCTCGTGTCTTGTTCTTCAACATCTTCTTAGAGTCTTAACCCCCTTTAACCCTAAATAAAACCAAACCAGATCCCATTCAATGGAAATCATTAACTCTTATTGTCCATTTCTGTAACCAGTCTACATTACAAATTCATAACTTCCTAACCACAACTCCACTTAATCTAAAAACAACTTCAATATTTAATTAACATCCCAAATTGCTGATCTAGAGGTCCTCTCCATTTGCCATCAAAGAAAACCTAATCAATATTGCAAGAAAACGTCAGCTAAACATCTGTCCATGAATCCTAAATTAGACAAACTTTTCTTCAGGCTTGCATCAAGCCCAAACAACCACATAATAGAAAGGTTAAAAATTAATAGTGCTCGGTATTAAGATATCATCGCCATTATGAGTTGAGTATTTCTCTTTTATTACTTGGCAAGTTAGTGTCACGCAAAGCTCCTCACTTTAGGTATGTCTACTTTATGATTAACTTGATACCAATTGAGTGTGTAAGTTAGTGAGGTTATTCATTTTTATCAAGATTGCGTGATTAATTATGAACTAACCTGGGATTGATTGAAAATTTTCTCAATTAATCTTACAAATTGAGTTCTCAATATCTAAAATATCCATGCATTTGAAATTTGAAACCAATACATGACTGAATATTGCATCTAGGATTATCTTATTTGTTGAATTGCATACATTATTTGTGCTTGCTTTTGCATTCATATCAACCATTAATCAAAAGGGCGACTATGAAATATTACCATAATGTGTGTGAATAAATTGAACAAATGATGAATAGTATAAAAATTAGAATGAAAATCTAGAGCATGAATAAGACAAAGTTAAGGGCAAGATAGGTACTATATTTAACCAAATCGAACATCTAATGTGTCAGATGAACCAGTTAGAAATCTTGGAAATAAATCTTTCATGGAGTTCCCTAATTTCTTACAATGAATCCATAAGAAATATTCCTCATAAACTTTCACCTCTTCAAGTATCCTTATAGAAATCGCAGTGCACCTCCTCAACCTATTAGACCCAATGTCTAGAAAGTCAACGTGGAATAAGACAGTTCACAAGATGGAGCATATGCCCTAAGTAATAATATATAAGCCACATATATTTTATTTTTAATATTTCTAAAATAGAATAGATAATCAAAGATAATTGAATATAAAGAAATAAATCCTAAAAATATCCTAATTCCATAATTTTATAATTCATATTCCGACTCCAAAGTCCAATTGGCATATGCTTATGAAGTTAAATCAAAATAAACATCAAAACATTAGCAAGTGTTTAATTATGCACTTCTCAAGTGCTCAAACCTCAAGCTATTGATAGTCTAGTTATTCTTCTCTACATGAAACAGTCAAATCAAATGTCTAAGCTACTGCAAGTCAACAATGGAGAAAATGTGTTTTGTTGCTTTGATGAAACGTATCTGAACAAGACAAATGGATGTGTATCCTTTGAGCTTGCGAGTTTTATCACATAAGGCAGATTCATCATTAGAGCAAATCAAGGAAAAATAATTGTCATTTGAGATTTTAAATCAATGAAAAAATTATTTATAAACAATTAAAATTTCCTTTTTGATAATTTTAAATTAATTTAGATTAACTTCTACAGCTTGCCGACAAGACAAAAAAAAGGTGTGTCCAAGTAATATCCTAGCCAGTGGTGCATGTCCCCCTAAAGTTAAATGCCTCCTTATGGTAATCTGGAAGAAATTTTTGCGCTCCTAACCCAAGTTAAGGCACATGGTGTGTGTCTATATTTGCTATTTGCACGAAATGTCAACAAATTAAAATGTGTAACACAAATAATGGAGCAGAATATATACAAAGCGTTTGATAAAATAATTTAAATGAATATTTTATAAGCAATAGATACTGGAGAGGGATGAAAATAAAAAATAAAAATGCTAAGCAAATAAATAAAGTAAAATCATCATCTCGTTTCCAATCCATCCAATAAACACATGAAATCCGAACAGATTATTAAGTGAATGCATAGACATAAAAACAAAAAAAGTCACCATCGCACAGGAATATTGGCATAACAATAGAGAAGTTATAAAACAGAAACAATGGGTTGATTAATAACAAGCAAATGAGAAAAAAAATCTACACAGACAAGATGAAACCACATTGAGAAAGGAGTGCCATTAGAACAGAGTGACAAAGAGGTCTCAAACATATAATAGAGTGAAAAAATAAAAAGAAAGAAGGATATCTAAATAGAGAGGAAAAGGGAAGAAACAGACAATATCGATGTGATTGCACTGGCTGCTCTTCCTCAAACTTCACACAAAAAATTTCACACAAATAAAGAATTTGTATTATCCGCGCAACATAAAATACTGTAATAACTTATGCGATCCCATTCACAAAATCAGTCTTCAATAACGAACTAGCAAGCTCAATAGTTTTTGCCTGCAAATAGAATAACTAAAAACAAAAAAAAAGTCAGGAAATCCCCACAGCAAGTTTATTAGCACCAGAAAATAAGCTTTTTCTATCTTCATATCCCAATCAAGAGATTCCAAAATTAGGTAGCATTAAATTCTCCTTTAGCAGATTGAGTAACAGAAAGGTTAAGGGTCATTTTTCAAATTTGAGAAACACCTCCCCATGATGCTTTAGAAGAAAATAATGATTGCTATCATGCAAGTCAGTGAAATACAATTTATGCAGAGAATCCGCTTCAAAAGTTAGAGAATGAGATTACTATTTCAGCAAAGTAATGTGGGCAGGAAACATATTCAAACCAGTCACCCTTCGGAATTATGTATTCATCAGCTCCTCTCTGCTCTCGCAAAGATCCCTGTAAAGAATTTGAAATTTTATGTTACATAGCTTTCTTATTAACTAAAATTTTGATAGTTTCAGAATTAATAACCAAAGTTGAAGGAGATGGAGTAAATTAATATTTGAAGTGCAAAAGATAACTATATATAATAAGACCAAAAGAATTGCAATATCGCATATAGCAAACAGTTTGTGATAAAGAAAAGATATATTGCACCACAAGTCCTATGCTTGATTGAAAAGTACAGATATCAGATACTTTAGCAATCTGGGCGAGGAAACATATCACTCATCACACAAAAAGAATGTCTTTACCATTAAGGCTGCATATGATTGACATGTTCATTTGATATTTTCTTATATGTAAAATGTTTCCATAAATTGTAAGCAGATAAAAAAATTTTTGCAATTTTAGCTTTGAAAAGGGCTGTTCCAATCATAACAAGTTTTATTTGGCTATGTGCTGAACCTAAGACTTCTCATACTCAAAACTAACCAGTAATATCAGCCCTAAGTGCATAGCTTCATTTTCAATGAATCATAAGAACACGTTCTAGTAAAATAAAAGGAAATTTACGATAATTTAAGCATAATCCATGGAGCTGTAGTAAATAGATAATAGCAAAGTGAATGCACTATAGCTATAGACTATAGTCATTACAAAACTTTGCATGCTCGAAAAGACAGTTCTCTTTAGATTCATTAGATAGTAAAGTATTACAACTGATATCTGCTAAAATAAGTTGAAGGATAAAAAAATCAGAGAAAATGTTAAAAAGAGAGAGTACGTTAGATTTAATAGAATAAAGACTAAGTATATGATATATAATTTTAATGATTACAGTTTTAATTAGTGTGGAAGTAAACAATTATCAAGCAAAATCATTAAGGCATAAAGTTATAAGAAGATGTGAATGATTGACAAATATTGGATCTATTATGTATAATAACGGGGATTTAGATAGGATATAACACAAAATGATAGAAGTATATCAAAGGCAATTAACAATAATTGCTATAAAAAAATTACATTAGCAAGGAGGAAATAAAGTAAAAATTTGAAGAACTAAATCATTAGATACTTGAAAGTTAAGTGATTCACTTGGATCTCCTTGCTTAAGTTTGGTGAAGATAGGAGAACGACAATAAATTTATTTCTGATTCCTGCCTTGCCTGGTAAATATAAATTGAAGCCTTCTATCCATAGCCAGTTAACACTGTGAATGCTCTCATCTAAAACATTTGACAAAAGCATCACATTCATGATTGTGATCACAACTTTGAGGAATTGGATATGTTGTAGGTGGTGAATCTGGATCAATGTAAAAATGTGCGGGAGAAGAAAAAGCTACTACTACATGAGAAGAAGGAGCTAGATCCTCGATACCCAAAGGAAATGCTAGTACCACTTCCTGATTGCAGGCTTGATTAGATTGAAATGCATCCAAGTTGATTGCAGTTTGATTCTGATCCTGTTGTAATACATTTTGTGTTTAAATATTGACTTCCTTAATTTTGGATCAGCCTAGAAGCATTCAACAATTATGATAAAAAATTTGCATGATGATCAATAGAATGGAATGCCTTCAAAGTTTACTTTCTGCCAATATCCAAGAATAGAGGAGCCATCCGCACTTCTTTTTTTAAAATGAGAAGTAATATATAGCAAAACTAGAGCAAGGGCCGCCAAAGGTCTTAAGAATAGAGCAGTAGCATTATTGACTTGTAAAGATTTAACAAATATTTGTCCTAACGAATATAGTGAGAATTTGTTGAAATAATGTAGCCGAAGACTGGTGATTCCTCTAAAAAATAAAAATGGTTGCCCATTTTAACACATCCCTTGGGAATTCATAAATATAATAGGTCTGCAAAGAAAAAAGCCTAGGGTAGCCAGCTTCTGAGGTAAGTTTTGATTATGATATGACAAGAATCAACAAGCCCAATAGAATGGGTTTCAAACAATTTTAAATCTGACAAAAAGCTAAGGATGGTTTCCGATATTCAGACGACCTAGAGAAAAATTGTCAATAATAGAAAAGCTAAGAGGTTTAGCGAGCTCAATGATCTCGTCATCTGAAAAGATAAAGATCAATTTGTCTTGATATGTGGAAGGATGCTTATGATAGTGGCATTGCATCTTGATTAAAGAAAATGTGGAAATGATTGTTAGGTTGGGATGAAGAAAATCTATTATTTAGCCCGCCAACAACATCAACAAAAGACCAAGGGTGTTGGGTAGGAGATATAAGTAGGATATGAGGAGACTACCAAATAAGAGTTTCAATTGCAAAAATAGAAAGGGGGGAATGAAAGAGCTTGTTGAAGAACCGACGGAAAATAAGATTTATAGGGTCAGAAAGTGGAACAGTAGACAAAACATTAAATGGAGATGGAAGGAAGGGAACAAGCATGGCGACAAAGATGACAGGTGGAGCATAATTTCACCAAGTGTGAAAAAAAGAAAGAAAAAGATAACGTAAAACTCATAAGACTAGGAGGAAGGGAAAGTGGCATTCCTAGTAGAAATGCCTCTAGAGAAGAATGTCATGAGGCGTCGTCTTGAAAGAGAGCACTCAACAACGTAAACATGGATTCAAGACGGGTTGTCGCGAGGAGCTAAACTGCAAGAAAGTGATGCAAACACAGGAAAAATGAGCAGCGCGATCTATGGGGGCATGTTACGATGCACTAAATGAATGTGATGCCCGCAATCCCAGATCACAAACAAGTGCCGGAAAAAGCAAACACACAAAAAGCGAAGTTCAACTTTTATTGGGGAAGGAGAAGTATGGAGTGTAACATACGCAAATAAAGTTTGAAGAGGACAGAGACACATTTCACCGTATGCTTACCCTTTACAAATGAAATGGGGGTATAGATAGGTTTATAACTTCAAAAGTTAAAGATGGGTATATAAATTAGAGGGATGTGCCTCAAGAATATTTTATAATAAGAGGATATCCTAAAAGTTCAACAGCAAATTTTATGAGTCTAAGAATTGGACCCAAAAAAAAAAACTCATTAATGGTTATTTTGAGCATTAAAAAAATGAGAATACTAACATATGTACTTAGCACAATTAGGAAAGAAATTAAGGAATGATTATACAAGATAAGCAGTTGAAATGACATCTATTAAAAATAAAGAAATTATAAATGGAACTAAGTTAGGCACCATAGAAAATGTACCCATTAGACCAATAGATAAATTTGAGTCAAAGAATTAATAAAGAGGGGGGGCCTAAGATAACTTAAAAAGGTTTAACACCTAAGCAACACGCAATAGAAAGAAATAAAAAAAAAACCATCAAGCTAAACCCAAATAGTTCCAACAAGACTAGGAGAATGCAACTCCTAAATATATTTTGAACATGAGCCTCCTAGAATTCTTATTACTAAAGAATGGACAAACTAAAAATAGCTAGAACTAAAGCTAAAGATATAGTTGTGATAAAACATGAAACACCAAGAATATTCTGCCAAAGGAAAAACAAAATTTTCACTTGTTTATTCCACAAAAGCAGTTTGAATAAATATAAGAATTTACACACATAAGTCTTTTATCTCCAAGAATCAACAATCAAAAGATAATTAATTTTTAAAAACCACATATAAAATGCATGAATTTTGTCGAGGTAGAGTATAATGTAGGATGATCAGAACACATGAATAATAAAATAGATAGATCATGGCCGAAATTGCAATTTTAATTGAAAATTTTGGTGTTTGCAGCTAGCTTTATTTTGAAGTGGTTTGGAGTTCGGAGAACTAAGCTACTAGGTAGCTTACGTGCATTGTTGGTCCTTTGTTCAGTTGTTTTCAAAATTTATCATTTGTAGATGTGGAAGGCATTTTGTTAGCTTCATTATATATCTTGCCATCAAAATATTAAGATCAGCCTACTTGCTCTCCTAGATACCTGATTGCTTGAGTTATGCAACGTGGTGTTTGTGCAACTTAAATGCAACATTTGTCTTCGAAAGTAGCATTTTTGGGGGGGTTGTAAACCTTTTTTTCAGCAGGCATTTACTTTTAAAATCTTTTAATTGAAATTTTGAGAGAACATTGTGGTCATAAAAAGAGGGTTTTAGGCACACAAAAATACAATAAAAAATTATGAATATCATAACAAGAAAATGATAGAAATAAATGACGGGCAATTAACAAGAACTGCCATAGGAAAAGTAAGAAAATCTACAATGGCAAGAAAGAAAAAAATTTAAAAACCTATGGAACTAAATCACTAGACACTTGAAAATAGAAAGTGGTTCATGTGGATCTCCATGCTTAAAGTCTAGTGAAGATAGAGGAATGGCAAAAGATTGTTTCGGATTACCGTGCCGCCGGATAAATAAAAGCTAAAACCTTTTATCCACTAGTAAGTCAATATTATAAGTACTCTCGTATATAACATATGACTGAAAAACATCACGATCGTTATTGTGATAACAATTATGAGTTGGAGGACCTATCATTGGTCATGAATCTAGATCAATAAAAAGACGTAGAGACGAGAAACACCAACTATTGTATAGCATAATTGAGCAAATTCCTCGATATCCAAAGGAAATGCCAGTGATAGAATAAACAATTTCTTCTAGCCTTCCCCAAAATCCCAACAATAAGAAGTGTCCTCGATGAAAAAGCAAAAATCTTGATTGGTAACTTCCAATACTTATAGTCCACTTTTGCTCTCTGAATTTTTTATTTGGGTTGCAAGTGGTCGATATTTCACGATTTGACCCGAAAGTTAGAATATCAAAGCTAGAACTAACGGTCAACAGCAACAACAAGCCTTTATCCCACTAAATGGGGGGTCGACTACATGAATCCTTTTTCGTCATTGTGTCTCATTGAGTGTCATATTTTTATTTAATTTTAACAGATTAAATATTTTCTTATACAATTTGCCCAAGTCTTTTGAGGTCGACCTTTGTCTTTCATCACATAAGTCAAATCCAAAACTTCTACTCTCCTAACAGGATCATAAGGTCAGCGTTAAATGTGACTAAAC